AGAATTATTGTGGAGAGTAGTTTCTTATCATAGAATTAATCACCTTGAAGTTCTTTGTTTGCTTTTAGTTTTGTCAATAGCAGAAATGGGATTTAGAGGGAAAAAAACGTGATTTGATCTACATTAGATGCATTAAGTAATACCCAGAAGGGTATTGTCACTTCTCACCTAGTGGATGATGAAGGAAGACCATTCATCCTTATGATGAGATGGATACTAAGATAGGATGACCAGTCTTTAGGGGATAGTGGAGGGGGATTTTGAGGTTTATTTCTCAATGGAGTATGATAAACTTCCGCTCTTGTTAAGGTTCTGTCTTGCCACGTTTAATAATGAACAAGTGGACTTTTAGATAAACCATTGCCTTGATTTGTATCTGTCCTGATGACCTTATACCACTGCTCAAATAAAAGTAAAGATATCACTGGAATCGGTTGGAATAAGTGAAGTTTTGTGGAATACAGAGGTCCCTTTTTACTTTTTTTTTTCAATAATAAAAAGAGCTAAACAGGCAGAGTATTCCGAAGAGAGAGAAAGGAGCTAGGGCAAGGAGTTAGGAACAACAACAGATAGCGGGGGAGGGGGGGGGGGGGGTTAGAAATGGACCAGAAAAAATCCCTTGAGTTGGATAGAGACAACAGAAGTATATCCAAGTACGAAATCTCAGACTTTGAAATGTGATATGGGTTATATTATATAGAAGAAGCAGATAAACAGGAAGACTGGGAAATGATTGAATTGGCTTTACATGGCCACAGGCAAAGTCAAGACATGATGTAGTGACCAACTTTAATCCCAGAACGGGTCTTCAATGCCCCTCAGCAAAATGGCACTGCAGTTATTCCCTGTTGACTGGTAGCCACAAATTGAGTCCCACTTTCAACGGCAATAAGAAGGAAAACAGATTCAGCAGGAAAATAAATTGAGTAAACCTACATCCTGTATCAATTTAGCATTATAAAACCTTAAAATGAAGTTGCCATTTATCCCTTTAAAAAAGGGCATTCCAACCTTTGTGATATTACTGATTCAGCCTAACTGAAGTGCCCATACATATACATCTTTCAACATTACATAACTTTTTTTCCCTCCGATTTCATTAAAACTCTCACCAGTCTGCTTCTCTAGTTTTTCTGCTGACTTTAAGAATAATTGTCTTTTGAATAAAATACATCATGCATCAACTACATGTGTATTTCAATTACATTTTTATTTTAAATCTCATGCATCTATTTTGTTTTACTTTTGTTTTCATCATCCTATTGAGATACTAGTTATTGTGCAGGTAATGGGTAGATTTTTAAAGCTGCTTCTTCTGGTAATTAAAGTAGGTCCTCTGAACCAGAGCTAGTTTTCATGTAATACATATAATATATAATTCAGGACTTTTCTCCACAAAGCTTTACTGTATAATATGACCAGCAGGAGCATTGTCAATACATATGAGATCTAAAGTCTTTTGTCTGTCTGCCTATTTGGGTCAGGAGCTATGGCATGAAAACTCATAAATCAAACTCTGACTGAATAGAAGGCACAGATCGTGAAAGTGAAAATTGATTTTCACCAACCTTTGTCGGTGTGGTTATTGGGGGTTACCTCTGTCAAGTACAGCAAGAACACTAATTTATTTTCCACGCCCATTCTGTGCAATATGAATCTTTATTTGCTGTAAAGTGCATTTCTGATTGGAACATATCACCTGATTGTGTAGCTGTTGTTTTGCTAGCCACATACCTTCCTATCACTCTTTGGGATATACACCGTTATTTTGATCTGAAAATCACTCATTGCATATTTTGAATGGGTTGTGAACTAAGAATTGTCCTAGACCAAAGACAATGGGTCAAATTACTTGGTTCATATTAAATTGATATTTTCCTTTTCTCATAGTTTTATGAATGATTTTTTTCTCAACTCTCTTAGTAACCATTATTTCTTTCTTTATGAACACACAAATGTAGGTGATTACTGAAGAATAACACAAAACTAACTGCATGGGTCATAACTGGGGTTTTAATCATAATTAAAGATAAAGACCAGTAATGGTCATGCGATTGCATTGTGAAAGAAACGTTGTGGAATCGATCAGAAAAGGTTGATCATCTAGCATATAAGTAGTGGTGTATACTGCAAGGTTCTGGAATCATCAAAATGATAAGAAATTTGGCCCAGTCTTTGTAAAGTTACAAGCACTGTACACAGAAAGATGTATATGGGACTACGCACACGTGCGCGACACGTGTGTTTATCTTTCACACACCAATAGATAAACTAATTTACCAAATATATCAATTAGTAGGCGGTTTCCCGGCAAAATTTTTATCATCATGTATTAGTCAAAACATATTCTTTCACATGGTTGGTAATAAGAGCTTCCATTTCATTTTTTGAAATTGGGGCGTTTCCAAAACTGGTCTTTACCTTTAAATGCTCGCTCTGTATGTGAGGTAAAAGAAAATTCAGGATCTGCAAGTAAATGAGAAGTGCTATTGTCATAATTGTATAATAACTGCTCTTACATTGTTTTTCTAAGCTCATTTCAATAGACATTGTAGTTGATCAAAGCCTTACAATTATTGAACTATAGAAAAATATGAAATACAAGTCCAAGTATTACAGTATGGAATGTGAAGAATTGATTATTTTTGTATAGCACTTAAGGAACAACAGCAATCAAATTGAGAACTGTAACATTGAATCAGGATGTGATTCTTAGATGAAAGGAAATCAAAGAGTATCCCAAGGCTTGAACGTTTCTTCAAAATCTTTAATGTTAACAAAACATCAGTGAAAGATTATATCAACCATTAGCTAAATGGCCCTGTAAAATGCATTAACAATATCAACAATGTTTCTTTCAAAATCTGTTGAGAAGTGTTTGCTCTTCCTCTAGGTATCAAACGTAATTCCTTTCTTGCCAAGACAAGTTTTGTTGAGAAGAGCAGATATCTGTTGATTTAAAGGTATTAGCAAAGGTAAATGTCGTGGGTTTTTTCAAGATCAAGGATACGTAGCTCAATTTGTGATGAAAATACTTACACAGAAGATGAGGTTGTTGTCATATTTTTTTCTCTTTGTAGCAAGTTGACTCCATATTTTGAACAGAGGTCATAAATGATCCATTGAGAGCTTCATTTTAAGACTGAAGACATTGCCAAATATGTTATGAAATACATTTCATCAGGATATTAAAGCATACAGTACATGTTTCTGTATCAGGATGAAAGCATAGCTCTTTGCAGTTCAACGTATTGTGAGATGATTGAATTCTTAAGCAAGATTTTCTGCGTTAGGCATGAGAGATTGAATTTGGCTTCAAAACTAATTAGACCATCCAGGGACCCATCTCCCTGGATCAGCAGGAATTATTTCTCTTTACCAAAGTTGCAATCTAATAATCAAAACCATCTGAATCATCTGATATGTTGCTTCTATCATGTAATGTGCTCTTCCTTCCTTGAGATTTCTTTTAGATTTTTTTTCTCTCAAGCAAGTCAATGATAAAACAGGCATTTACCCTGTGAAAAGTAATCGATATGAGGTGAACTTCCTTAAATGAGAAGGATTTAGAAGTAGTTTGGGGTCATTATGTTTTCTCATTCCAGCAAAAAGTGTGGGTTCATAGAAAATCACAAATATGGCAAATAGCATATTCCTAGAAACTGGTAAGCTAACAGATGGCCATCGTGCAAGTTTTAGGTCAACTTCATATCGGGTGGTTTATAAAAATACAAATAAAACAACCTCCATAGCATCTGGGATATGCGAGAGATTCGCCGGAAAAATAAGTATGTTTTAATGCCATCACAATAGGAACCAACCCTGCCCAAGAAGACGACATCCCATAAAGAATGAATGCTTTTATTTCTCAAATTATAATGAGTTTAGTGTATATAAATGTGATAGAATTTTACACCATTCAAAAAGGGATTTGACCCACATTCTGATAACTAAATTCTTTTGTTTGTAAATACACAAGATATGGGTTAATGAACAATCAAAGAAACCACACTTTCAAATTAAAAAACCTCCGGAATGATAGCATGGACGTCATTTGTTCCCACTTGAAACGCCAAACATACCGCGATGTATGCAGCTGAAAATACAATGACGTCTTATTTTGTTTACAAGTGACGGATTCCTTTTTTTTTTTTTTATCCTTGCATTTTTCATCAAAATAATACCATGCACAGGGTTTAGAGTGAGGCAGTAGATTAAACATTTCGCCTGAGGGTATTGAAGTAAGAGAAATAACTGAAGAAAAGATGAAAAAACAGGCACTGAAATTGTGTGAGATGTCATGGGACATCGTCTGCTTGTGCACATCATGTTCAGGTGCTATGTCGGGGCTGTATCTAAGCATTTTGTAATTGTTAATAATCATTACTTTGAATGTTTCCAAGCATTGGCTTTTGATAACCTTGGCCAATCAAAGTGTCACCTTTGCAATAATGAAAATAAAGTTATTTTTTTAAATCAATGAACCTTCTCTTTTAAAGGAGATGAAGAAATTGTAGTTATTTCTTGAAAGTTCTAGGAACCCTAGAAATTTCAAAAACATTCTAGTTATCATTTTACCCTTTTGTGTCAACGAGCCTTGACAGGCTTCAATAATCTTATAATACTTTGAATCTAGAAGTGTCCCAGGTTGGGTTGCCAATTTTTTATTTGAAATTGTGATTTAGATTGATTATTATTCTGATTGAAACAAGCATTCATTAATTCATTACAAAATTAATTTAGCTAGGCCTTCTGTGCATATGGACAATATTCACAATGCCTGTTTCAGTTTCAATGCTCTATAGCAGTTCTTAGTTTCAAAGCTCTTGCAATTTTTAGTTTTTACATATCTTACCCCATTGAAATCGTTGAATGGCACATGCTGCTTCATAGCAAAAATGGGGTATGATATAATTTCCTTATTTTTCATTCAACTTTTTAAACTTTCTGAAATTATTTTCTTCTCAACTTTGATTTTCCCTTTCTGTACTTTTCTCCAGGCTGATATGCGGTCTAGAGAATACCTTCGACAGACATTTCCTGAACATTACCCTGCTTCTAGCTCTGGTGGCAAGAAAGCAGCTCAAAAGCATCGCAAGAAAGACCCTGATGGTGCATTGGGAAAGACAGAAGGTCAGAAGAGAATGGAAGAAAGCTGTGATGGAGAAGATGATGAAGAACTAAGAAAAGAAAATAATGATATCGAGCCTGTGAAGCTACAGGGAGATGGAGACAGAAGATCTACTGAATCAGGCAGTCCTTCTAGTTGATATATTCCATGAGAACTAACAATATAAAAGAGTCAATTAGAGTAAGAATATTTTGATATCTGAATATATATTTTTGTACTTGACATTTTTCGTCTTGCCTGCATTCCTTATCTTTGTAATTATTTTCTTTATAATGAGAAAGGATAAATTGAAAATTTGAAGTTGTACCCTGTTTTTACATTCATATATCTTGATACTTTTTCTTATATAAAAATGTGGCCTGCTATTTATGGTCATCATTCTTGTTTCATCTATGTCAAGTTTTAAAAAAAGGTAGTAGTTTATGAAAACTGATAGTCTATATAAAGTTGGTTGAGTTCTCAAAATCGTGGTTCTCTAATTTGTTAGCATTTTGAGTATCTCAATAAGTGGAACATTTTCCCAACAGTCCTGTCTTAGATTTGATATATGTGATACTTTGATTGGATTGTAACCACGTTCTGCTCAGTAGTGCCCACACCCGTGTATTCTATAAAACGTATCATACAGAAATGAAATCCCTGTCGTTTTCCTTCATTGCTCACTGTTGAACTTCTCAAACACAAATGTCTTTTAATATTGTGCAATTTTACCTACATTTTAGCAGATAAAAACAGTTTTATATAGTATAATTAGAGTTGATTTTATTTTTGTATAAACATTGATACATGTAGGCTTATATATCTAACCAAACCATTGATGTCTTTGATAATATGCTGAAATTTATTGTACCAAGTTTAATTATTATAGAAAATATTGATTTGTGCCTTCTCCCTGATCTCTTGAGGAGAATACCTCATCAGTTTATATTATCATGCTCCCCCCCCCTTACTACTTTCTTCCTCTTCATGATGAAAGGTTCACATAATGTGCAAAAACATGTAACTATAATTCTGATTGTTATATATGTAAGATTTTGTCTAGTGGATACGTCACTGGAATGTGAATCACATCGTTGGAGTTACGCCGCGGCATTAATGTTCCTTGGTAAGACATTAATCTACTTTTGCCACTCTTCACCCAGGTGATGTAAATGGGTACATGATAGGAAGAAATACCTTGAATGCCAGAGCATCTTATCAGGGTTGCTCAGCTAAAGCCCGGGTAATAATAGTACAGCGCATAGAAACATTAGTATTAAGCGCTATGTAAATGTTGCTCGTTACCAATATCATAATGTCTTTGCAATGACTCTCACTCTTTCATTAAATTTAATACTGAAGGGTATTCATAACAATCAAATTTTACTGGATACTTAATATTATTGATAACTTTCGGCCAGTGTTATATGAAAATGTTCTGTTAAAGACATGTTTGTAAGTACCTGTATCTATATCCCAAGTGATTTACTTACATTTATACTTCTTTTACCTATTTCCTTTATGTTTCAATAATAAATATCATATTTCCAATAATACACTTTAACTGTGATCCTAATTTTTCATAAAACTCAAAAGGTTACACTTGTATGGATGAGTTTGATAATATCTGTAACTGAAATAATACGTAAAGAATGGACTTTGTTTGTTTGTTTTTGTTTTTTTTGTCAAGTGAGTGCAACGAGAGACAGGTTAAGTTGTTATTGAGATAGATAGCATTGCCATTGAAAAAGGTCATTTCTTAGAAGTTGATCCATTATTGAGATGAATTGTACATCTTTTCAAGGATTCTGGGCTGCAGGCTTCATTTATTGGCTAAGGCCTATTGGCTGTCAGTTGATATTAATTTTGAGATAAAAATCTTTTGGAATTCAATTGCTAATCAGATTAATGGGAATTCAACCTGCAATTAGTAAATGCATGGCTTTAGGCAAGTAAACCAAGGCAGGGTTTCTCCTTATACATTTAGTCTAGCATTGATCATTCACAAATAATTTGATAGATAGAGAGAGGAAGAGAGAGAGGAAGGTGAAGGAGACATAGTGTGAGAGAGCGAAGACCTTTTTACAAAGGTCCATGGAGAGAGTAAGATAGGAGAGAGAGAAAGAAAAAGAGAGAGGGGGAGAAAGGAAGGGAGAGACTGGATGGAGATTTACATGGGAAAAGATTGAAGATACAAGAAGAGATAAAAGAGTCTGTTTATTTCGAATCATAATCTAAAATTACATCTTCAGGGTCTTTCATATTTCAGTAGAACTTTTACTTGAATGAATATGTATTTCGACAATGTACCACCTACATTCTACTTTGAACTGCATTATCTGGATCAATCACATTTTGAAATGCAATAGAAATTGTGCCAGCACCTCTTAGAACAATTCTAAATTCGTTGACCTGATTTTATTTTTCGCCTGAGAAATGAATATATTCTGACATTTAGGATAGATACCTAGCGGGAATGGCAGATGAGCACTTTGAAGTGTGCGTATGTACGTGTGTGTGTGCGTGCGTATGTGGGTGTGTGTTATGTATGTGCGTGTATGGGTGGGTGTTTATCCTTTCACAAGTTGAGACAAAATGCACATGTTAATGTGATAACCATTCATCGTTCATGCTTTTTACTTTTTTTATGTTTAGCTTGTCGGAGACTTTTTTGCATATTAAAGAGTACTGGTGTGTCACGTCATACTTGCCAAGTTGTCAATTTTGCTAAGTTCCACACAATATTTTGCAAAACAATGGTGTGGTGATCACACTTGCCCTAACCCCTGGCTGAATTTGCCCTGCTCCAGCCCGTTGCTTGAATTATTTCGCGGTGAACCAGTAGCCTGGGCGACAAGCGAATATGGCGTTAGCACTTTGATACCTTGTAACTGCAACTAAAATTGTCTATGTCATCATTAATAGCTTGGTTTAAGAAAAGAATTAAATGTAACGCGTCTATACCTTATCCACCGAGAAGTTAGGCAACACTTGAAAACAAATAAAATGTGTAAACTGCGAGTCTAAAATCAATACTAAATCCACCATATCCATCTCAGTAACGGAAAATCGAACTTTGAATTGATTGACGTGCACCATTTCCCAGTCGGGACTATTATGTGAGTCAATAATAGAGATATAGATCGCATTAGCCCATGCAGGATGATTAGGTCCTCAGTGGATAGTCGACCACGACAATGATCACACCAAGTTAAGCTTCTCATCCGTAAACATCCTTGACATCAGGAGTCTCGCCCTTGAGGGCTAGGGTTAAGGCCATACTGCTTGAGGTTAATGGTATTGAGATCAAAATAGGTCTACGTCTGGATTTCTAGCGACTACCAGGAATGTGGCAATCTTGCCAAATCAAGAGATGAGGTTTCTGTTGAGCTATTTAAAATAAAATGCTATAGATGAAGCTGTAGTAGTTCATTTAAAATGTGAGAAAAATGGAAAATACAGAAATTTATATTGCCTTGAAGAAAAAGAAAATGAAAAAAATAACAGGAAACGGCGGCTTTCTTTTGGCATACAAAACTGGAGTTACAAATAGAATATATGGGAAAATGAATTTGCCGCGATTGTTAACATCGCATATTTCCATGATATCAACCTATTCTTTCCAATCTAAACATGGAATTTTTCTTTTCTTCTTGGAAGAAAAAGCTTATGTCCTGCCTGAGGTATGAAATACTGAAATACTGTTTGTTTAAATTGTTGGGACATGTCCACCCACGGTCCCCACCACGGCCCTGGTGACAATGATCAACAAGAAAAGCATTCCATAAACATCTCGATTAAGAAACACATTAGCGAGGATTATGATTTCCCAAGCCTCAGCCTAGATGTGAAATTAAAACATGATAAAGATCTCCGATTAAAGTTCGGATGACCACATACATAGTAATTTCGGAAGCTGTAGTGTAAGTATTGCATAGGCACTAATGAGAACAAAAGGTGATCAAGAAGAGAGAGTTTAACCAAACTTTAAGAGTTAGTGAAGGGTATCAAGTATCATAATCCTATTAATACGTTTGGGTTTTAAACAAAAAAAAGGAGGTCGAGCCCAGGGGGCGTAGCCCCACTCCTTCTTCGTCGAGTCCTGATCAGTCTTCTGTCACTTCAAGCTTTATTCTCAGTTCTGAATTCACTCTTTTCTTGATTTTCCTCGTAGTAGTAAAGATACATCTACCTAGTTCTTTTACTCTCTTTCGTTGTTTCTCATGTTTTCTCTCTCTCTCTCCTTTTTTCTTTCCCTCTCAAACCCTTGCTTCTTCTTTAAAGATTATGTTTTGCTGTCAGTGCGCTGCTCCTAACCCCTCCCCCTCCCCCTTCTAGTTCATCCCGGCATCCACCTATTACAATAACAGTTGTTTTATTTCGTCTCATTGTCCTTCTCGGGTATATTAACAATAGGTTCATTATCCTTTCTCTGGGAAGTAATAATGTAATAATAATGCATCTCTCCCCTTCTCTCTCTATTTCTACTTCCTTTGTATCTGTTTCATTCACTCTCTCACTCTTCTCGCCTCTCTCTCCCTCCCCCCCCCCCCCAACTGCTTCTTCTATTTTGTTTTAAAGTAAGAATATTTTTACCGCCTCTTTCCATCTCACCTTTATACCACACTTAATTATTGACAACAACAGAACAACAAATGAAAACATCATGTCCTATTGTCCTCCTCGGATATATAAACAATAGGTTCATTATGCTCTCTCTGGAAAGCATTACGGATGCACCCCCCCTCCCTCTCCCTCTCTCCCCCCCCCCCCTCTCTCTCTCTCTCTCTCTCTCTATATATATATATATATATTGTTTTTTCTCAAGTTCCTTTGTTTCTGTTCCATTCACACACCCTCCTCTTTTTCTCTCTCTTCTCCTTTTCTCTCTCTTTCCCCCTTCCCCTTGCTTTTCCCCCTTTTAAAAGTGATACGTTTATTGCCCCCATTCCATTTCAGCTGTACGTCACTTAATTATTGAGAATTACTAAAAACAACAAATCATTCTTTTGACGCAACTCATTAAAATAACATCAATTTATTCATCAATTGAACCTGTGACATGGTAAGCGCTATTATCTCAACATTCTAAAACTCCTTGAAATGATGAGCCTAGAATGAGTAAATGAACTGTACAATAAATACATTTACGAATACATTTCATTTTAAGATTTTAACTAGAGAGCCATGCGTCCTTTAATGACTACATACATTATTTGTACAATCAAACGACAGATCTAACTTAACTACTGTCCTGGAAATTAAGGTATAAGTCTGAAACATGCCTCGGAGAGTGCTCAGAAGATGACTCATGGTTGGATATACGTATTATAAATGCTGAAAGGCGCACTTTGGAAACAAAAATAGGCAAAGGGATAATAATCACCTCTATTGATTAGACTAGCTGTTTAGGACCTTTCTGCTTTCATTTTTTTTCTTCATGTTTGGGTAAACAACATTTCGTGAAACAAACGACGTATAAATTATGAAGTGTATTTTTAAGTAAATGTTTCATCCTTTGAAGTACATGATATTTCCACCCATAATCCACTTTGATAAGTAATGTTGCAATGCATCATTATGGCGATGCTATACATTTTTGACTGTAGGGTAAAATATTCTACGTAAAATATGGCATGATTTCATCGAAAATTAAACGTGAATTGCCATGGATCGCTTACCCTTCAGTACAGGCGCGCCGGAAGCAGTTTGGGATTGGGGGGGGGCAAACATTCCAGGGGGCTCACCTTCCATGCAGGGGCAGTGACGTAATGAGCAAAAACGTTTGGAAGGGGGGGGGGGCAGAAGAAAAATCTGCATAAACCACCACTCTTACACGTTATATGCAGGCCCCGTGGAACGTTTTTCAAAGTGGAGTATTAACGATCAGGTAGAGCGTAAATTGGTGTTGGGTCCATGGCATGAGCCTCGGAAGGGGGTCACGGGGCTGAGCCCCCGGAAGCTCAGGGTTTTTAGGCATTAAGTTACGGTCAGATAAGCATATTAAGATACCTTATTTGTGACACTGGCAGGTCCCTTATTGGCGGAGAGTCCAGGGAGCAAAGCCCCCGGAAGCTCAGGGTGTTTAGGCATTAAATTACGGTCAGATGAGCATCCAGGAGCCCTCTTTAAGGCCATTAAGAGGGAGAGCCCCCGGAAGTTCAGAGGTTTTAATATTTAACTATGAACAGATGAGCATCCAGGGCCTGCCTTAGGGCCCTTGGTGGGGTCCAGGGGGCAGAGCCCTCAGAAACTCTGGGGTTTAAGGCATTTAATTCCGGTCAGATGAGCATATTTTGATACCACATTTGTGACATTGGCAGGTCACTTATTTTTTCTCTCTCTATTTCTTTCTTTTTCTCTTAATATACTTTTTCAAAAAGTGAGAGGGGGGCTCGAGCCCCCGAGCCCAACCGTTTGCAGACCACAACATAAAGGCTTCTAAATAAGCATATTTTTTCGCCCGACTGTAAATTTGGGAATTTCTCATTTTCCAGCAAACGCATAAAAAGGAATGACCCCCCCCCCCCCCATCAGCAGGGCCGTAGCCAGAGTTTGATGGTGTTTTTTTTTTTTTTTTTTTGGGGGGGGGGGCACATACATGTAATTGATCGACGTCCTGGGGAGGGGTCTTACAAAGTTCAACCGATCTTGGAAGCGTTCAGGGGCTCATGTCTTCTCATCCCTATAACAACACAAAAATAGACACGCTTACCCATTCTCTCACGGTATGTCCACGATATGCGCGTATCGCTATTATGAAAACCTCCTTTGATAAATATAGGTGGCATGCGCAATGTTTAGGAAATTTAATTCCTGTTAACAGTACTTTCCTTTCTTTGAATATAATTTTATATGTGATTTAATTCAGGTTTTTATTATTGTTATGTTCTTTGGGGTTAAAAATACAATCTATCTTTACTCCTTTACTGCTTTTTTTTTTTTTTGGAGAGGGGGGGGGGGCGTTTTGGGGGGGCAAAAATGCGTTTTGCCCCCCCACCTTTTTGACTGGGGGGGGCAACTGCCCCCCCTGCCCCCCCACTTCCGGCGCCTATGCTTCAGTATAAAGTCTCTTTCGAGGCATATAAATCTACTGATATTCAAGAATAAAGTAAGAGTGAAAATTTAAATTTTGACATTAGAGGCAATAAATACAGAAAATAACGACTTTTATATGAAGATGCCAAGACGGAAACAGTTTAAAGTTCCATACCTAAGAGTTAACATTGATGCGAGGAAGGTAATTATAATGGAATATATCTTATTTATGAATTTAAAGATGTATCGGACAATAAAATCAATATTTTAGAAACTGCAGACATCGCCAAATGTCATGTGATCAATTTTTCTTTAAACCACACCACTGCTAAAAACAGGAAAACAAATTTGTTGATTTTTTTCTCTTCGTTTTTATCGTTGGAAAAGCAATATTTGTTCCGATTCCAAATACTCAATATTAAAAAACTCCAAGATAATGACTATTTGTGTAATTTGGTTAGAAAACATATTTGTATAACGTTCAAGCATTGGATGTAATTAGTGTTTCATGGGAAAGGAAACAACTGAGAGCTCCATAGGATTAAGATTAATTTCGGTTCAAGGTCAAGGTCGTACTAATCTACCACATAGACAACTGCATCCCGCTTTATTTTCTTGGGCCGTTCGGGATTATCATTACTCATATTAGAGAGATTGATTGAGAGGTGGTCTTCAAAATAGTTATCCTTAAACATCATTTAATGATTTATGTCAAGCTCTTGTGGGTTCATCAATGTTTCGAAGAACTTTACAAGGATACACTGAGAGGCTCTGGGTACTTTGATCATACTAACCCATTATTTTTCAAATTGAGAACTCTGAAAGTTACTGATATTCATTTTTATGCAAAATGCAGTGTTCATGTACCGACTTAATAAGTTAGAATTACCTTTATCATTTTGTAACGATTTTACTCTAAATAGAGACATTCACAATTACACAACCAGACATTCTTCTGATTTCCTCTCGTTTACGCCAAGGCATGCCCTAACCCAAAGATCAATAAGATATGTAGGTCCTGATATTTGGAACGCTTTGCCACCTGAAATACGAGCTTGTAACAACCTTTTGTTCTTTAAAAAGAAAATGAAGAAATTATTTATCTCAAAATATGCTTGTTAACTTTTGAGGTACATTTTGTATATTGTTAGTTATGTCAAGAAGAGGTATTGTGTATTTCCTTGTTTTTACTTGTTATTCAAATACGTTAAGGGGCATGATTTTTGTATTTTGTTTTATTTTGTAACGACATGATGTCTTATTTTAAGCCATGTTGTATCTTTAACGGATAAGTATCAACTATTTTATCTTAAGGCCCGGTCACACAGGGAGGACGCATGGGGAACGCACGGCCAGCGCATTGGAAATTTGCAATTTGGGCCAGTGCGTTGTCGTTCGCTAGGCGTGCGTCATCATTCGTTACTCGTTCGTCGAGCGCGCTGGACCAACGCTGGACCAGCGCTATGCATGCGTCGTCATTCGCTGTGTGCGTCGGGATTTTTTGAGCATGCTCAAAAACGTGCGCCGAGCTCGACGCATGAATATACACGCCAAAGGCACGCCAGACATGCGTGGAGCGCGCTAGACCAGCGCCAGACATGCGTGGAGCACACGCCCTGTATACGCACAGCGCGCTAGCTACACGCCGTGCATTTTGTGTCAGCTCGCTAGCTTTTCCAAAATTATGACAAAAGTTAGGCACACGTTCTTTTCCGATTTCCAATGCGCTGGCCGTGCGTCGTAGAACGCGGTGCATGCGTGGACCATTCGTCCAGCGCGCTAGCAACACGCTGTGCATTCGTGGAAGTTGTTATCATGTGCGCTCTGTGTGCGCCCTGTGTGCGCCCTGTGTGCGCCCTGTGTGCGCCCTGTGTGCGCCCTGTATGCGTCCAGCGCGCTAGCAACACGCTATGCATTTGGTGTCAGTTAGCTGTAGCTTCGACAAAAGTTGGGCGCACGACAACGCACTGGCCAAAATTGCACAATTCCAATGCGCTGGCCGTGCGTTCCCCATGCGTCCCCTCTGTGTGACCGGGCCTTTAGGGACGTTGCGCTTCAAACATTTTTTGTTTATGCATTGTTCCTACTATGTATTATATCTCAATGTAACCCACTATATTTTATTATCTGTAAACAGTTATTTTACATGGTGAATAAATAAAACAAACAAACAAAACAAGAGAAGCAAATGGGCAGTTAGACAAGAAGAAGGAGAGATAGAGAGAGAAAGAGAGAGAGAGAGAGAGAGAGAGGGGGAGAGAGAGAGAGAGAGACAGAGACAGACAGACAGACAGAGAGGGGGGGAGAGACCTGATTAAAGTCTTGGAGTTGTGTTTTGCGAAAATGTATATATACATGTATAAAGAGAGTGGAGGACAGAGAGGGATAGAGAGAGAGAGAAAGAGATGTTGTTGTTGTTTTGTTTTTTTAATTTAGGCAAGTCAGTCAGTCAGTTTATGACCATTATTGCCGAATACTATTTATCAAATTTGTTTTGAATTAAAATTTACACATGATATGTGTGTATATAATATATTTATGTATATTTCTTCTTCTTCTTAAAAAAAGAAAAAAGGGGAGATAATGATAATTATGAGAGAGAGAGAGAGAGAGAGAGAAAGAGAGAGAGAGAGAGAGAGAGAGAGAAGGGGGATATATAGATATAAAGAATAGGTAGACAGATAGAGAGGGATATCATATAAATATAATATGTAAAGAGAGAGAGCAAAATAGAGAGAGGGGAGGGAAGGAGAGAGAGAGAGAGATGGAGGGGGAGATTAATAGATACAGAGAAATAGAAAAAGTGAGAGAGGGGAAATGAGAGGGAGTGAGAGAGTGAGCGAGAGAGAGAGGGGGAAGTGGAGAGAAAGAGATGAAAGAGACGTCTAACATGTTTAATCTCTTTGGAGTTTGTGTGGGCGCGCGCGTGTGTGTGTGCGCGCGTGTGTGCGTGGGTGCGCGTGTGTGTGTACTTTTGATACCCCACGGCACACACAATCAAATTATCAATCAGTCAACGTTTCAGATAGTTATGAAAAATAATTCAACTGCTGAGTCATTTCGAAGGAAGCAGAAAGAAATAAAGAACAAACAGTGAATTCCTTAGATGCATTCCTAAATTAATCTGTTACAAAACATATTGGTTAAATTAATATTGATTCGTGTTGTCTCAGTTGCACTACAAAGGGGTTTAATATCCCAGTGATATCGTTGATTTATTGATAACTGGAGCTCGCAATTACTGATTGAATAGGTCAACATGGTTACACAAGCTGTTCTTATGAAACGCAATATATCAGACCTTTAAAGCAAATTCTATCAATGTATTCGTCTTTATTTGATAGATAGGAAAGTGACGGGCAATATTTAAGTTCCTTTATAGTACTTTTTCTTTTATCATTTCCGTCTGCTCGTGGACGCGTTATCAGTGATGATTTTTTTTTTCTTTTTAAAGCTTTCTTTATCCAGAATTAAGACTGATTTAAGTGGAGGCTTTGAAACAGAGTTTTGGTAATGTAAAGCATCTTAATCCCAGCAGATTATAGACTTAGAAACGAGTTTATGTCGAAATTACACGGATTACTGTCTTACAAGCATATCACCGCACTTGCCCATCAGTACACATTACAAATAAAATACACTTGATGAACGTATGTATGTGAAATACTCTACAATCATTTTATTAATAGAATTACAGAAATTATAGTGATAAAAGCGAAGATTAACGTGTTTTCATTTGTATATGTGCGGAGGCAGGACTAAAATCAATATAACATAAAAGAAAATCAATCAATGAACATACAGTATAACAATCAGAGGAAGAAATAGTGAAATATATACGATTGTGGTGACCAACGCCAAATTATATTGGAACAAAAACAGATAAACACCATAGAATATGAGAATATAATTTTTTACAGTACAGGAAACGTCTTGTCAGGAATAAATTCAATAAACATATCACAAATTAGAATGCGATATGATAATTGTTCGTCACACTGTGTATCGGGTTTGATCGTAATAGGAAAAGCGCTGAAGTCTGTCCCACAATCAATCGACTTTTATCAAAACCGACGTCATCGTTCGTACTTTATCCCTTTGGGGAGGGGGTGGGGTGGGTGCAATGTTTCTGATGAAAAAGGAAGATGTTAACCCACTCACAATTGATTTTAAATTTAGTGCTTCAGCTATGCTAGAAACCCGATACATAACACAAGAAAGAACAACAAACATGACGACTATACTAACTTTGTACTCCTACTCTTAACCTTAACTTTATCATGATCATTACAAATGGAAGAATGATAGAAAATAGAATATCGTATAAAGCTCTCTTTCTAATAAAAATATATGAACAATGAATACAAATAAGAACAGGGTCTATACGTAGGGTTAATCGTCAGTTTTGTTTTCAGGAACATATAACCTTTCTGCACAATAATCCACATGATGTTTCTTTGCGATTGAGATTCCATTAGATTAAAAATACAATAATCCCACGCGCAATCTTATAAGATCGCCGCCAAAAAGTCAGGACACCCAGTTACAGAAGGACAAAATACACATACAAAGAGAGTACAGGGTTGATATTATGTTTCGTTTTTATGATGTACCCAGACGTGATGTTTCCCTTTCTTGCTTGTTAAAGTGTTTTGTCACATTATTAATATACCATTTTCATATCTCCGAACTCTTAAGTGCTTTTAGTGCAATACAACAATGGCACCATCAAACACGACGTGACCTACACAAACTAGCTATAATGGGAATTAAGATCGTGTCTTTTAGAAGAAAAACCTTGAACATCAAAGGTGCACTTTCTGCCGGTTGCTTTCTGTCCGTCGATATTTCGTTTTCGTGCATTTGACGTGTAATGTTCTTCAATTCAATTCGAAATGTTACCATAATGACTATGATTTACGAAACCATAATAGATTTACTGATGCTTTGTTTCATCCCCAGCAAAGTAGACTATAGCCTAACTTTAGGCAGCTATATTGTAGCTTAATATTCTCAAATACTCTAACCGTGATTTCATTTAATTACAAACTTTACCTAATAGATTCACCTGCTCTCAAATCAAGCAGTAGTCAAAAAATACTTTCCATGTACAATTCTATTACAACTACAGTATCTCATCTAAGAGCAGTAACGAATTTGGTGGCGTATATAATATTTTATACATGCGAATAATTTGATATAATTGTGTGAATAAAAAATATATTTACAGATTATAACAATGCAATATATCTGTTAAATGATCCTCTATATATCTTACAATTTTACATTAACGAGCATTAAAACATATACATGACAAACAAGTTTGAAATCTTGTGGTATCTGGATTAGTTACTCGTAAAGTGCAAGTACAACAATATCGACATCGACATTATATGACGTTCTTCATATCGTCCATTAATTACATGTATATACTCAAATCTTAGAATCTCAAATAGAATTTCAAATAGAATTCATTCCAGCACATTCGAAGCTACATGAAAGTCCAGACGTTTGATTTAAAAATGTCTACGTTTATATAAGCAACACGCACAACTTGTTATGTAGTGCAATTAATATACCCGGATGATCAAAAGAAATTTCGGGCTTTTTTCACTTTTGTTTTCTCATATTCAAATTTTTTACAAAATTGTCCTATAGGTATAACATGCAATTACACGAAACGACGAAAAATAGTTTTTGTTTGAAAAAGAATGGATTTACTTACATTTACACTGTAGATCTCATTTTGCACGTTCAAAAATATCTTCATGAAATGTCATTAGTATACGACGTAATTACGAAGAAGATGAACCATCATGCGCCATACACAACGCAGAAGTCTGGAATTGAAAATTTCTGAATTGCGACATCCCCCCCCCCCCGCCCACTGTTTTACGTGTTGTTGTTTTTTTATACCGTCGCTGAAATAATCTGTGTAACTCCAGACTCTGGGAACTAGTTTCGACGCAATATATTTATCTATCTCCGCCGAGGTATAATAATATTGTAGACCAATTGTATATCAGAGTTCTGAATCTGACTAGGAGTGAAATATTGTTTTGCCAGTCTAAAGATGTAACTTTAGACCCATATCAACGAATCGCAGGCCATTAAAGTCTATTTAATTAGAAATCTAGGCTACTTAAATTAGGGAAAACACAAGAAAGCTGTTAAAACTCTGCGAGTATTCACGGAGTTAGGGTGAACAAACTTTTTAAAATGGAACATTTATGATTTTATGAGCAATTCTAAGATAAGTATGCAATTCGCTTGGTACATTCATTAAATTTAAGAAGCGGTTCCCAAATCGATGGCGCTGAACAGTAGAGTGGAGAGACAGAAATCTTCAGAAGCAAAGTACGTCATTCTTTAATGCATTATGAATGCTAACGAACCCTAGGCAGAGACTTGGCAGATATGACTTATTATTTAACCATGACATTATGCCCACGCTATGTTAACCCTAAAATCCGGAACCTTAATCTCGGATAACTACTAATGAAAATTGAACGTATTTGCCTTTGGCAATTTATATCCGATTGGAAAAGATAATGTGACAAGTCACAGCCAAAAGATCTACCGATGCGAATAATTGAAAACGCCCATCCGACGAAACACGAAACTTTTTACGTGAATGGACGTTCTATAACGGCCTCAGGACATTTTGTGAACGTCTTGAGACCGTTGGGTGTATGCTAGGATTGTCCTCCCAGAACGACTGACTCCCTGACTGGTTTAACATGCTTGATCAGGTGAGAGTTGCGTCAAGAGAGTTCAATATCCTTCATCATTATCAACGTAGATTGGGCTCATAATTATCTGGTCAGTTCTTGAGACCTTGAGACTTCGTCAAAGACTAGGATATCCGTCCTCCTGAACTCGTGAAAGATTTCCTACTTCCCACTGCTGACATGCGAGTAGAGTTGGTGGTGTTTCGTGTCTGCTCACACTCTAGGGCCGCTGTTCCGTTTGGGTAGAGCTCGTGACAGCAGATGAGTTGAGCCTTGCAGTTTCTTTCCTTCTTCCCCACACAGCAGCAGGAGCAAGCCTGGTAGTAATTCTTGCGGAAATTCTCGCAGAGACACGAGTAGAGGAGGGGATTGAGGCAGCTGTTGGCGTAGCCCATCAGCCTACAGATGATGCCGAAGTAGTAGCTAAAGGGCGACATTGTGATAAGTTGCCAGCATTCCATGATGCTACGGATGTGGTAGGGGAGCCAACAGATGGAGAAACAAGACACCAGGATCATCACCATCCGCGCCACCTTACGTCTGGTGTGTCGTCTGCGTGGAGCTCCAGCCATGTACGGACTGACGAACTCTGCCCCGGCGTTCCACAACACGGCAGCCATGCGGGCATAGCAGAGGCAGATCACACCCAGAGGAATGACGTAGAAGAACACAAAGAGGCTTGTTTTGAAGGCTCGTTGGGATAATAGGTTGGGCCATTGCTCTACACAGAGCCTGTCTTGATACAGTGTCGCATAGATTGCTGGAGGGCTCTGAGATCCAAGGCATACAATCCAGATCGCTGCAAGAACGATGGCTGTACCAGACTTTGACCTGAAAGATATCAAACAAACGAGGAGATGTTTAAATAATGTATAGGCCTAAACACATTACGGCCTCTTTAAATACACTTAGGATAAAACGATGATATTCATCCATTGTATCATTATAATGATCATGTTCAAGAAAACATCTCTTCTCCTGGGTAGCTATAGAGGCCATGACTGGGTCTTTATAAATGCTTACATTGCGTGTTTTCTACCTTTTCTGGATTTCTCAACGATAGAAAGACATTTTGAGAGAAGTCTTAACGTATCACAATGGAAATGAAACAAAAAGATAAGAGAAAATATTACGATTGATTAATAAAATTAAGGATTAATATATTTTGTTTAATTGATTGAAGAGAAACTAAACTGTTGATCAGCTCTTACAACGTTTCCCATTAATATTTTTACATCTTCATTAGATAGTAACCATGTACTGAATTGCCGCTGAGTAATTGTAGCCGGAGCAGGTGTCGTAGAAGCACCATTATATTATGTACAAAAGAACTGTAATTTTACTACCATAATGATACCATGCATAATGTTTTACGTGTAATTTTACTTTGTCACTGATGTATACTTTGTAAAAGAAACTGCAATTCGGCTCTCGAGCCGCGAATGTTTTATAATGAAATAAACCACTTTAAATAAAAAAAATTAAATACAACATACCCTTAATACGTACAAGGTTCGTACAGATCTTATGAGGGCAACTACTCCCCCGTAACACTACATGGACAGTTACAATGGACATCTGTCTCTGAACGGCTGAATACTAGGACGACCAAACCATAAACAATTACTAGCCCTAGACCACTACCCCTATATCAAAACTAATTCAAAGCAATACCAAATACCAACATATTATTACTGCCATCTACCGGAGTAGTTATTCGAGGTCCTGGGTAAATTGTCCTTAGGGGTTAGAAGTTGTCCAGGTAAGTAATCCTTGAAGGTGTTTGTCCGCGGATACTAATATGGGGCTGTATAGTCTTTGGTAATAATCTTACAATCAGTAATATGTTGCTTTTGATTTTGTAGTTAGTTTTTATGCTCCCTCTTCTTTACATCGAACAGGATCAAATGTATAAACATTGGTGTAATATTTTTGTAATATATTAATGGGTGAATAACATCTACGGTATCCCGTCGATTATCTTTTTCAAGTAAAGCATATTTAAATGACATTGCCAGTAACTGCCCCCTTGTCCTCTAGAATAGTGTTAATTGTTTTTCAAGATTAGATTCTTAGAAGTATGCAGCAGCTTTAATCATTTCAGATTTCTTTACACCTTACAGGAAAACATCGCCCGTTTGTTGATTAACAGTATGTGTCCAGGAGGACATGATTGTGCCTAACAAGCCTGGTAAAGCACTTCCTGCCAATATTAAATTTGTATTGTCTTAACAACTGTGTTGAAAGTAGTCCCTAGGGATGGATAAGATAAGCCTTTAATGAGCTGGGAATAAAGTCTCTCCTTGATCTTGACCTTTTTATGATTGTAAATCCCATAACACGAATTTCAATGATGTTGTTGAAGGCATAAGAGGGGCCGGAGGGATTCAGAATAATTGGAATGTTAATACGTTTGCAAACGGAGATTAAACGAAGAAAAAGCAAGACGAAAAAAGGAAGAGGTAGGGAAGAGGTGAAGAAGTGAAGAAGGGGAAGAAGGAGAAGAAAAAGAAAAAGAAGGAAAAGGAGGACAAGAAAAGAGAAAACAACAAGAGGAGAAGGAGGACGGATTAGGGCAGAAGGAAATGGGAATATTTAAGAGCAGACGTTAAGAAGTTAAAAGTGGCGAAATGTCTGTATTATCGAAGCAGAGATAGAGAAAGAGAAAGAGAGAGGGGGACGGGGGCGGATGAAAAGAGGATGACAATGGGGGAGACGAACATCGAATAGTAGTAAACTATCAAATTATGAAATATAATCAGCAGCGGTAATGGCTCCCGAGGATAAAAATATTAATATTTAAACATGTTAATTATGCATGATACGAATATAAAGAGATTTTCTACGAGAACCAGTCAAAATGTGTTTTATTGCAGTATTAAGTCAGTATGATGAACGGGAACAAATCTTTATGACATTCTAAAAGTTTGCTTAAGGTTGAGCGACCCAAAAAGCATTGCGTTGAATAATTCTGATTCTACATTATAAAAGAGAAGAAAGACATAACAATACAGTTCATATTTCATAGAAATGTGTGGGAAAGTTATGTCTTCATATTTAGAGAAAAATCAATCTCCAAAGCTACTCGCTGGGGAAATCACATATTAGCACATTTTTTGATTGATTACTAACTATACAACTTCATGACATTTTTATCCTTTATCGGATTTTGCTAAAACTTCATAAATTTTTCTGTTCATCTTGAATCAGACTTCATGCATGGGTTGACATCTCCCTTGGCATGGATGCACACGTGTTCCTCTTTATCGAATATATTGTAGACATTGTTGTACTTTGTGGTTACCAATTTTTTGGAGGTTTAAAAAACTTGGATATTTGTGTATGACTGATAATATCAACTCGTGTCATCGCTATGTACGTAAATATTTTAAGTATTGTGTGCATCTACATTTTTATTATGACCTCTATACTAGTAATACTGTTGTTATTGCTGTTATCATCATAACTTGAATGCATTGGTTTGGAAAATTTGAATTGAATTTTAGAATTCGAGATATTACATTGACAAAACTCAATGGTTTCTAAAGGAATACTGAGGACAATATTTTTTTTGTTAAAGTGACCAGGCTAGTTTAAAAACAAACAAACAAGGCAAATGAAATGTATTACAATATCAGTCAAGGGATGTTAGTTTTTTTTAAGTTGTCAAGACGAAAACAACCACGATTTCATCGTTTGGTATTTTAATTCGGTATACTTTCTTCTCTGCATAACCCTTCTTGGAAGTTGAAGAAATATTATTGCATGTCAAAAATCAGGCGAAAAATCAACTACGAAGTCGTTTGGAACTGAACAATCTATGTGTTATGACTGTTCGTATTGGGATGATTTAAGGTTGTTTTTTTTCGAGTAGAAAGGAAACTGTGTGAATTGTATATTGTGCTATATAATCAAAGTGAAAAAAAACAATTCTTCTTGGTTGATGGGTTTAAATAGAATGTCAATATTTATGTTATTGTTGGTTCCTAAAAACAAGTGAAGCTAATTTTTTAAAGATATATATCTTTGCTGCTTGTAAGTATTGGCTTGCATGGTGATGTAGATATACAGTAGGCTTGCTGGTGCACCGTGTTAGAGAGAGGGAGGATTGAGGAATCCTGAAAAGGACTCTCGTGGATCTTTCTTGAGGGTGTGTAGTCCTGAATAGGACTGTTGGTGTACAAAAGATAACCAAAATAATAGTCTTTTTCAAGACTACACCAACAGTCCTTTTCAGGACTACACACCCTCAAGAAAGATTACCGAGATTCCTTTTCACCAACAGTCTTTTTCAAGACTAAACCAACAGTCCTTTTTCAGGACTACACACCCTCAAGAAAGAGCGTAGCAATCCACATTGTCTTCGTGCAAATCTAAAAGTCCCTATTGTTACATGACAGTCACACTAGCCTTTGCTGATAAACAAACTTATCCTCCAAGGACTAGTCACAAAGAATATCCCCATATCCCATTCACAAAATTGATTAATTTGCAACTCAAAAAACATTCCACTAAGATATGTGGATACAATACCTTCAATGTGTTAAAGAGGTGATACCTACCCGCATGTCAAATACGGTTAACTGCCTCAGAAAACGATAACATTCAAAGACATACATTTATAGTGCACTTTACATTTTATGTATCTTGTCATATCTAGCAATTGCCAACTCAATTATCTTTGTTACACTATAATTTTGCCCTGTGCTATCCGTTGTCATACAAAAATGAGAATGATCCTATTTTTTGGAAGAATTGAATTGTCTCAAGAATATCAGTAACTACTGTGAGTAGCCTTTGTTATGCGATGGAACCCCCATCCCAGTTGCTTTTCATTTAAGGTACTAGTAAAATGGCTCTCATTAATGCAGTAATTATTCAAGGCGGTTTATCGCGGCATATTATGTGAACAAGGTTTAACCAAATGAGACCCGTTAGCAGTTCATGGAATATCTTGTATTATGTGAAAAGAGACTTTAAAACATTGGCAGTTTTAACATGTAACAACAACAACAATAACAACAGTGATATTGGATAGTTTCATAGCCTACACATCCATCACGAAATATGCTCAAGGGGCTCCCATATTACTCCGGCTCTAACTAGGCTACTGATTTCGGTGCTCACAGCATTCAAGGAATTCATTCCTATCGATTATATTAATTAATGTCATACCAGAGGAAATTGTGTTATGCAAATAACAACAACAACATGAACTAAACCCCAACAAACATGATTTACAGAGGAGAAACTTTCGCGGCAATAAAGTAGAGGCTTGCTATCGATTATGAAGCCTTCATGACTTTAAACTTCATGACTTTAAACAGCACAATAAACAGGCAGGTGTATTACAAAAAAGATTCTTCGGAAATTGAATGTTTTGATACCCATCTCCTTCATCTCACGCCTCTGGATAAGCAGGCCTCTAGATCAAGATTCAAGGAGAATGCTTTAAGAGGATTTTAATAGAACGACTGGTATGGGAAGATAGGCTTGAAAACACTTGAGAATTAGTGTTCAGTGTTTGATCGGGAGGTAATATGTTTATGTTACAAGTCCAAGGTTAATACATAAGGTCTACTTTCTTGCAGATTCAGAATCTAGGATAGGGCGAACCAGGGTAGGGGGCGTGGGGAGGGGGCGTGGAGGGGGGGGGGGGCAGGATGCACATCCTGCCTCTTTATGTGGCTACCCCACAGAGCGCATTCGTATACAGGTTAATACCTCGTCAAAGATGCCTGACCACGTTTTAAAATCCCTTATCCGCCACTATAGATTCGGGTTGAGTCATAGTCCTGTAAAGCTCATTAGATCACTTATAACCATTTTCTTATCACGCTTAAATGTCTTTGCTATAATACGATAGGTCTACACTCAGATATCGAGTGCCTATTTTGTTTTTCGTTTGTTTTATCCATGCCGATAAAGTGTTAAAAATAACAAACACCTGCCTTCAACCACAAAGCTGTTTTTCAGCAAGTCCGTATACAAAAGTAGATAACATTACGGAAAAATAATTTTAATAAGAATTACAAATTTATTATGTACTCCGATGTGGGATGAGGTCGCACGAGTTCTTTTTACATTGTAGTTTTTACATTCTCTCCCCCTCTCTCCCCCCCTCTCTCTCTCTCTCTCTGTCTCTGTCTCTCTCTCTCTCTATCTCGGTCTCTCTCTCTCTCTCCCTCTCTCTCTCTCTTTACAGTTGTAATTCTATCGTAGTACAAGTTGTTTTGAAAGCAGAGGCGCGATCACCGTTCTTGTCTGTTTCTCCGATGAAGAAATATAGAAGAATTAGACACTTTCTGCCTTGCGAAGGATGTTAGAGCTGGAGGATCAATGACTCCTCGACCCAGCTCTGACCCAGCTACCTCAAGACATGTTTACACCGACAGACAGGTGTCAAGGGCTATATAGAGGCGTTCATATGGGAAATGAAGGAACTTATTGTTCAACCTTTTAAGTGAAGTGGAAGGGAGAGGGGCCTTTGTCTTATTCTGTCGTCAAATTTCAAAATGTAACTTTTGTACCTTATCGAAAAAAATGAAACGCCCACAGTATAACAAAGCCAAGCCAAATACAGATATCTGATGCCTATCTTTCCTGCGACTAAAAAAAGTCTCTTACAAGTGAACAAATGCCTTTCCCGCGACAGAATAATGGACCCCCCTCGGGGGGGGGGGGGGGGGCGGGGGTAACTGACTGCACTGCTTCGTCTAGTATGTAGTTAGATTCTTCCCGTTCTTTACAAAACAAGGTGCCCTTTCTTGAGTAGACGGGTAGGCATTTCCACCGAAATATAACCAAGATCACCGTGGAACTTTTACAGGCATTGTATGATGCCTGCCCCTCTTTTGACAAAAAGCGCCCATCCAAAAAAAACCGCCCCCTCTGCAAATTTAGTACCTATATGGGCTCCTGAAAGTACATGTAAATCCTTTCATTTTTAGTCCTTTATCCACATAAACCGACAATTTCTTTCTAAAAGAGGGAAGGGAATAATGTTTTTCAATTGCTAGAACGTGCTATCACAAAATGGGAATTCTACCTGTTTTAATCAAACTCTTTTGCACTTCACAACATACGAAAAGCTGCAACAGTATATTAAACAAAGTATTAATGAACCTCCCTTCACCTAGTCATTCTGCTCATGCACATAATTAACAAACAT